CCGCAATCTCTGCCAACTCATCGAACAGCTCACGCGCATCAAGCGCTGTCTAGCGGATGTCTGTAACGTCGTCAAATACGAGGAGTGGCACAAGTGGGAATTAGGGTGCAGAGAAATAGGGGATATCTCGTTCAAAGGGCTACGCAAGAACAAAGCCCGGATTGTACAAGCGCTCAGCGCAGTTTACGTGAACGGATATTTTGATGCGGTTAGGTTTTACGAGAACGAGTAGATACTTTGTATACAATGCTATTGTAACAATCAGAAGAAAGTTCTACTCGGAAACCTGACTACTGTGTGTTTATTTTAAGCGACAACAAGAGTCGTAGTTTAACTGGTCCCTTCGTCCAATCCCAACTCTATCCACCTCTCAGCTAAATTGGCTTAGCTGGGATAAGTGGTTTGCTCAACAGCGTACACAACCATTACCTCTCAGGAGACAAATACGGTACCTGAAACTGTAGAGACAAAACAGGAATCCGTCGCAGAATTCAGACAGCAACTGAATATCATAGACAACGTAGAAACTCCGTGGGAGTCATTAACAACACACGAACAATACGTCGAGTTGTTATTAACCCCACATTACTTCAATTACATCTAACAACCTCCGACATATAACGCGTCAGCAGAGTTAACAAACCACGACGACGATGTTATCCATATCTTCTTTCCCACAAGCTCTGACACATATTCAAAGTCATACGCCTGTTACCTAGACCAGGAAGATATTGCAGAAGATCTATATTATAGACCTATACACCAGCTATATGATCTTGCATTCTTGGAAGAAGATTGGGAATCACTTCGAGCAACACGAGCCGAATCATACGAGCTCGATCTCAGTGACTTCTTTTACGACGTCGGATTAACACCAAAGGAACGTGAAAAACTCTACGCATACACTTGCCTCCTCTTTGTACACGATAACAATGTCATCCTCTTCTGACCCTACCAAGCTCGCCACATCTACCATTCCGCAATTCGATGGTACCAACTATAAAAAGTGGTCCGACGCGATCCGAGCCTTCTTGCGCTACCAGGGTGTCTGGTACTTGATCTAGGAATACGGCTCCACGGCGACCGTTCCTGTCCCTGATCTCGCTAGACCGATAGCTGCGACAGATACACCCATGGCTACGGAAATTGCAGCCCAAGCTGCATGGGATGAGAAAAATGACAAGGCGCTGGGTATCATCCAGCTCTACGTCGCGCAGAACCTTCGTCATCTCATCGATGTCAAGTTCTTGGCCCTGGATGCATGGACCGCGATCAAGGCTGGCTACGAGAAACCCGGAGCGGTAGGCACATTTGTCGCCTTCCAGAAGCTGTTCAGTGCACAGCTCTCTGACAGCTACGTGCTCGGCCCGCAACTCGACGCGCTCACAGAGCAGTCCAACCAGGTCAACGCGGCAGGAATAGAGGTCAAACCTCAGCTTCTTGCTCTGCTGATGATCAATGCTCTCCTCAAGTCGTACCAGACCATCGCTGGTACCATTCTCACTACGCAGACTGATGTTACGCTGCTCACAGCAGCACTCATCAAGCCCAAGATCGTCAAGGAGGAACAGCGCCGCGTCGCGAACCGCACTCAGATTGCGCGCGTCTCGAAGGCGCCCCTCCTGGACAAGAAATGTGAGAAGTGTGATCGCAAGAATCACATGACGGAGCAGCACTGGGACACAAAGCCGGCAAATTCTGGCTCGAGTTCCGGTAACGGCAACAACACGCAGCAGCAGCAGCAGGGTGGCGGAAAGCGCAAAAAGGGAAAAGGAAAGGGCAAAGCAAAGGACAATACCGCGACGACCACTCAGACAGTAAATACTATTAGACTTGTCGATGTACCACTAGTAGCAAAGATCGAGGAAGAATCTATCTCTGTTTCTCTTTATGCTACGGGTGTCAAGTCTAAGTGGATGGTCAACAGCGGTTGCACGACACATGTCACACCGCACAAAACTGACTTTATTCGGTATCATGAATTCCCTAAGCCAGGTCATGCACACACGGCTGGCAAAGGTCAAACTATCGAAATCAAAGGTCACGGTGAAATCGCTCTGCAACATCGTCTCACAGATGGACGAATTCAGCATATCCAGTTAGAAACCGTATTATACGTACCGGAAGCAGCAGAACGGTTCTTTGCACCCAGAATGCCACTCAATAACGGACACTGTATTGAGATGGATGGCAAGAAGTTTAAGTTACTCCGCGGGTCAGACCCAACACAGCGGACAGTTTTAATGGAGGGCGAATATGAAAAGTCGTCAGGTTTATATTGGCTAGAAGCTGAAGTCCTCACTAGGACCGGTGAGATTAAGCCAGGAACATTAATGTCGGTCAAATCCGACGATCCGTATACTATGTGGCACCGTCGCTTCGGACACGCCGGGAAGAAATCAGTTATACAACTACCTGGCAATGTTAAGGGCGTCCCGGATAAAATCTTGGCTCCAACCAGGAATACTCCCTGTGATGGATGCGAATTCGGCAAGTCTCGTCGCAATGCATTTCCTGCGTCTGACAGTCGTGCGGATCATTCCCTCGACTTAATTCACATGGATCTTGTCGAATATCCGTCGTTATCACTCGATGGAAACAAGTTTGCCCTTACCACCCTCGACAACCATTCCTCATTTGGTTTGGTCTGATATCTGAAATGGAAGTCTGATGCCTTCTCTGCCTTCAAGCAATTTGTCGCTTGGGCGGAAACACAGGCCGAGCGCAAGCTCAAGGCTATACGTCCGAACCGTGGGGGGGAGTTTTTAGGCCGTGAATTTGACAATTTCCTAGCAGAACGCGGAATAGAGCGTCAACTATCAGTGGCGCAAACACCACAACAGAACAGCAGAGCAGAACACTGGCAACAAACCATTCAGAATAAGGCAGAAGCTATGCGACATCACGCTGGCATGACGTCTGGGTTCTGGAAGCTAGCATCGGAAACAGCAGTACACATATACAATCGACAACCTCTGCGCCGTCACCAATGGAAACCGCCCATCACTAAATGGAATGGCACTGTTCCGGACGTATCGTACTTTCGAGTATGGGGCTGCAAAGCCTACGTCCACACACATAAGGATGCGAGGGTCAATAAGCTACAGCCAAAAGCTAAAGTCATGATCTTCGTCAGGTACAAAATCGGTACAAAGGGTTACCGATTCTGGGATCCAACTGCCCGGACCATCGTTGTGTCACATGACGTCACCTTCGATGAGTCTTCCTTCCCCAAGCGAGATGAAAGGCCTCGTGAGCCTGGAACATCTCAAGATCCAATTCCACCTGTCCAACCTGACCTGCCGAACCCGGACCTTACCAGTTTGGATGACTTCACACCTGATAATCAACCCCCAGACAACGTACATCCACAACCGCGGCAAGACGAACCGCAACAAGAAGATGATAACGAAGTCAATGACGATCCAGCCGATCGTTATGAACAATATCGAAGCCCAACTCCAGAACCATACGAACATCCGGAGATACCATTTGTTCCCGGTCCACCTCCTGGACAACCTCCACCTTAGAGAGAACAATATCGTCCTCGTCAGAGCGGACAAGCCGGTCCATCTTGTCAGGCAACACCACCTGCTCCTGATATTAGGCAACGATGGAACCTCGAACCACAACCTGTGCCACACCCGGCCAGGCCACAGCGCGAGAATGCAGGCCAACGCCGTGTTCCCGATAACAGCTATGGAGACGTCCCGCCCACAGAAGCATGGCGTCAACAGGAACGTGATATCCAACATGATCAACGAGAACAACGAGAAGCACGTGAACAACGTGAAGCCTCTCCAATGGAAGTCGACAATCAACTCTGTCGGAATTTATTCCAATGGATATGTCATGCTCATCAGCCTGACCCCACTACGTACCGCGAGGCAATGTCTTGCCCAGATGCGAAACAGTGGGAGATCGCGATGAAAGAGGAACTCAAGTCTCAAGAGGAGAATTCTACATGGATTCTGGTCAACAGACCGAACAACCGGAGAATCGTAAAATGCAAATGGGTTTATGTGATCAAGCCCGACGGATGCTACAAAGCACGTCTTGTGGCCAAAGGATTCACACAGATAGGGGGGATAGATTTTCAGAAAACCTTCTCTCCCATTGCACGTTATGAGGCTATACGCTTCTTACTCGCACATGCTGCACTCGAAGATTGGGAAATCGAGGCAATGGATATCAAAACGGCCTTCCTGTATGGCGAGCTTGACGAGGAGATTTACATGGAACAACCAGAAGGCTTTGTGAAGAAAGGACAAGAAAAGATGGTGTGTCGATTGAAGAAGGCTATCTATGGCTTAAGTCAAGCCTCACGCACCTGGAACGAGAAGCTACATACTACGCTACTCAAAAATGGATTCAAGCACACGCGCTCAGACGCTGGTGTTTATGTTTACCATCACGACAAAGTCGAAGTTTACCTCATTGTTTACGTCGACGACCTTCTACCAATGGGTCCAAGTTTACCCGAGATCCAACGAGTGAAGAAAGTTCTTGCAGAGAAATTCCAAATGCGAGATCTTGGAACCGCTAGTACATTCCTTGGAATGCAGATCACTCGTGATAGAAACAACAGGTGTCTGGAAATCGACCAACAGTCGTATACAGAAGGAATCCTATCTCGGTTCCAGATGCACAACTCAAAACCTTGCCGCACACCGCTGCCCAAAGGCATACATCTCGAGAAGGCTGCGGAAACATATACCGCTACCGACGCACTTCGCCATCACTACCAGTCTATGATTGGTAGTCTCATCTATTTGATGATTGGTTCATGATCCGACATCGCCTGGGGAGTCACACGACTCTCATAATACATGCAAAACCCTACGTCACAGCACGTGGAAGCCACGAAACACATCTTCCGGTATCTCCGTCATACCACCGAGTATCCTATCCGGTACTCTGGCTCAAATCAGTCCAGTTTGATAGGGTATTCAGACGCAGATTGGGGCAAAAATCGGGATAACCGGTGATCAACAACTGGTTTTGTTTTCTTGATGGCTGATGGAGCAGTCACATGGGCATCTCGGATGCAGAAGACAGTGGCAAGATCCTCGACGGAAGCCAAATACATGGCACTCTCAGAGGCATGCTCTGAGCTAGCCTGGCTAACGTCACTTCAAAAAGAGTTAGGTTACTTTCCTACTGCACCACCACCTTTGGTAGCAGACAACCAAGGAGGAATCTTTCTCGCAGTCAATCCCGCTCACGACCGAAGGCTCAAGCACGTCGACATTCAATATCACCTCATACGCGAATATGTAGAAGAAAAACGAGTGGATATAGTCTACGTCAGTACAGACGAAATGATCGCCGACACATTGACGAAACCACTTGGTGCAACGAAATTCGAGCGCTTCCGGTCTATGCTTCGGCTTGGTCTTCAGTAGATTAGGCAATAACTAGTCGAGTGGGAGTGTCAGAACTGGGCGATTACGTCATTGCCCTGTACGGACTAATGGGGATATCATCACATGATCCCTCTATTATCTTGTAGTAATACGATATCTGATTACTCATGCTTAGTATACATGCTTACGCTCACAGTACCATAGGTCTTATAGCGGTATTAGAGGTCCTGGCTCACATGTATATATACTGGCCCTGTAGCACAGAATAAAGCAAGAGTTCAGTCGCACTTTAACAACACAAGAATGGCGACCCTATTCTTTGCCTTGTGCTCGAGTATGCCAGCGAACCTGCCGAAGACGGCCTGTTGTCCCTTGACATGGACGCCCGGTGAGTCCTGACTTCCCATTAGATCCACTTATCCCCGCTGGCCACTCAACGTTACCATATTTAGGCTGGACGTTCTGCGTTCTGTAGCCGAGATTCACCTCGCTGGGGTGATGCACAACGATGTCAACGATGACAACATTTTATTTACGTCCACTCCCAACGGCAAGCCCCGGATTGTCGACTTCGAATACGCCGAGAAGCACAAATGTCGGCGTGAGCTCGAGATTGTCGAAGGTGCCCCCGCCCCACCACGTGCCCTTTTCGGGTGCCCAGAGCTCTGGGATCTCGCTATTAGATTACGCATCTGGCGCTCTCGTACGTTCCTCTCCGCGCTATACACTCCTGCAGGCTGACTCTAAGCACGGCCTAGGGTGTGTCTCCTTCTATGGCGAATACATTGACGAGGATTCCATCGACTCGCCGCAAGTTCTCATTGACTCGGCCCGTTCTCTTACATACATCCCACCCGAGGATATTGAGAGAATCGCGAAGAAGGCATTCAAAATGGTGCAGATTTTCAGGGATAATGGCGGATACAGACCTGGGGATTTTGATCCGGAAGACTGGGTATTTTAGTCTTCGCGTGGTGGTCTCACAGAGCGTGCCACATAAGGGAATTTGAAGTACAATATCGCAACCAAGTTAAACCCGGGTCATCATCGAACTTCCCACTGATAGAAAGCGCATCCTTCGCCGTTTAGTCTCGCCTCGAGGCCATGGTGGAAGATATTTGCTGCGATATATAAGGCCCGCATGCTTTTGGTACCATCTAGGCTTCGTTATCGGTCCAAGCTTAAGCACTGATACACGAGGCTCAGGTATCTCCAGACTTCTAAGTGCATAGTATAGGCGTCTGATGCGATCTCGCATCTTCCGAGG